CACAGGGCATTTGCGATGATCGGTCGCGACGGCAGCCTCTCCGCAAACTTGCCATCATGCCGTTCAAAGTGGAGCAGGGAATTCATAGAGAAGCCTCAGAGGAGCCTGATGCCTTTCCATGAACGACACTGATAGAGGGCGAACTAAGTCCATACCTTAAGGCCTGCTGCATCTCAACAACCCGTGCGCCTACAGAGGTTAAATTTCAATTGTTCAGATGAGATTGGCCCTGTTATGTTCTCAGAGTTATGCTGTAGAAATTGTGGCATGATGTGGCATGCATCAGACGAGGCGCAAAATCCTCACAAAGAAGCTAGTGCACCAAGGTCCGCCCAGTTGACGCTGTTTGCGTTAGACCCGAAGCCAAGGTTCTGTTGTGACGTGGGGACAAGACTCTTTGGGCGGCGACAGCCTCTCAACTTCAAAGCAGTTTCGAATGGGTGCTATCTTCCTGAGCTAGGCCTGGGTTGTCCAGCTTTCTCTCGCAGATAAATCAACCGCACGCGCTTCTCGGCGTTGCAAATCTGAGAGTCATTGCTCGCTCAACACTATGAGCTGTCGTGCGTCTCGCGCTTTGGCTTCCAGGCATTGAAGTTCAACATCAGCTGCGAAACGTGCAGCAGATCAAAGGAACGAGAGGAGACAATTCAGAGTGGCGCTGCGACGTTGATTGCCTCAGCACTTCCATAGCCAAAGCCTTAAGAGATCTTCAGGCGTATATTGCATATCTCACAACCTTATGATTTTTGATTCATCGCACTGCTCCACAAAAGTCTGGAAAGTCGTGACCCCCGCGAAGATCTCAACCTTGTAAGACCGCCTTTTGTGTGCAGAACTTGGCAGGAGCCTTCGCTGCCATATTGGAGGACAGCTCACACTGAACCAACCTTAGTCAAACTGAATCTTCCTAGAAGTTTGTTGGTTTCAGGCTTTCCCCGTAATCCGGCTCCGGTCCCTGCGACTCCTGGAGGATGGATCTGTCTGCACCTGGGGGGAGACGCGCCAGGATGCGACGTTTGAGGCACTTTCGCTGTCCGTGGGAGCTTCTGCCTCAATGCTCCTTCATGCTTTTAGGAAGCACCAAATGCCCATGGCTTGGTGAGAAGGTGGCTTGTGGGAGGCTGGAACTGAGGTGCACATGGCATGTGGACTCGCCTTTATCTTTGTTTCTGCATCGAGCACGGGAATATGTGCGCATGTGCACACACACACAGACATGCACCATTCACACATAGAGATATGCACGTGCAGGCATAAGCGCATACGCAAACGCGCATGTCACCAAGTTTGAATCTTGGCTTTGCCCTGCTAGCTTTCTGCCACTGCTAGGTGTGGCTCGAACTTTCAAGGCTCTCGCTGATCCCTTTCGTGTGATGTTCGAGAGCTCCAAGGGTTCTGCAGGCGAACTTAGGCTGAAATCTTAGTCGTAATTCCAGCGCCGAAAGCCTGATCCTGATTGTTCCAAGAGGCCGTCCGCCATGAGCTGCGGGACGTCCGAAATCTCCAGGCGCCAAGAAGCCTGAACCGGTGTGGCGGGGTGCTTTCTACCTCCGTCACAGTCATTTACATTGTTGTAAATTTGGTGGTCTTGTAGGCTTTGGTGTGGCGGCTCCGGTTTGGCAAGAGCCTAGGGGTTACCCCTGCGGTGTTACCATCAGATTTCTTTCTAGCGGCCGCGCGGCACTCGCAAAGCCATGCCTGTGCTAGAGTCTCTCGGCATTTGGGGCTTTATGGTTTCAACCCCGCAGATATTGAATCGAAAAGCCAAGCCTCGTCAGAGCTTGGAGTTGGATTTGATGGGTTTAGGCTCCTGTTTTTTTCGCTTTGAGAACTCAAGCCACAACCACAGACCTTGGCCACGAATGACCTTTGACCTAAGAGCCCAAGTGTTCTACTTCATGCCGAAAGCCAGCAATGAAACCACGTCCCAAGATTCCAGATTCCCAGAGCACCCATTTAAACAGTAACAACAGTTCGAATAGTTTCAGTGGAACGGCAGTTCAAGGGGGCATGAAATTCTTTAAAGCCCCCAAGAACCTTTTATGAGCCATGATGAGCCCCCAACCACTCCGAAGCCAAGGCCCCCAACTCGTTGACTGAGTATCATATCAGCCGTTAGTGGTAATGGTATTGTTACGGCCGCATTTCATCGTTTCGGTGTTTCGGTCGACGGCAGCTGGCCGGTACTCTTCTCAGAAGGTGATTGGCACCAAAAGGCCCGAATGACCATCGTATTCATCCGACCCCCTTTACGAAATCAATCAACAATCATCATCAGATGGTTGCGAGTGCCAATGCCATTCTAAAACGAGAGATGCTATTCTAACGATATGGCTCAAAGTTTAGGGCCGAAGTGCCCTGGGGCCCTGCCCTGAACCCGGCCGGCACAGCAGCGCCGATCAATAAAGGCACAGCTCAGCGACATCGAACCTTTTCTGACAAGAGTAACGATATACATGATATACATGCAAAATAGCAATAACAACATCATCTTCGATGGCAGTTACAGCACATGGATGCTTAGATGATAGAAATAACACATAATGAGCATTATCATCGTGAGCATCATCATCGTCATCGTCATCGTCGTCATCATCCTAACGGCAACCATAGCAATGAGCGTAGCAATGCCAATGCCAACAACGACAACGACATCGACCAGATTTAGCTAAACTTAGCAATACAGACACTAGTCATATTTCCCGCAACAGCAGCAATAGCAACAACAGCAAGAGTAATGTAGCAGCAGCAGCGACCACAGCAACAGCTACAACAACAGCAACAACAACAACAACACCAACAGCAACAGCAACAGCAACAGCAACAGCAACAGCAACAGCAACATCGAGAAAGCAGCCACGACAAAAACAATAGCAAAAATGCCAACAACGACGATGGGAGCAGCAACAACTACAGCAGTCGCAACACTTGAGAGCAACAAGAATAAGAATGCCAACAAGAAGAAAAGCCTCGACAATCACTGTGGCCCTGAGCAGCAGCACTGCGGCTTGACGTTGTACTGGGACAAGTCCCGCATACGCTGCACAGGATTTGACTCATAAGGTTAGAACCACATTGGCAGCATCAACAGCGATCAGTACTGAGAACTTTTACGCAAGAAATGCATGGACCGCACCCCGGTGCACGCTGCAACAGCAGAGCAAGTTTGAATTCAGGAGGATAAACGATGACAGAGCTACTGTTCTGCGCCCAGAACTTGGCCCAAGGGTTGGCCATCGTATGCATTGACGAGGACAATGATGCCGCAGTTAGTGACTTCGGCAAGGTGGCACGAAACTCGCTAGATGAAATGTAATGGCTGCTGGTTTTAGCACTCAACAGCTTGAGTGGCGCTAGGGCAATCATTCAGTGACAATTTCAAGAAGACTACTTAGATGATGCCAGAGCTACTGCAACGTGACTCGCGACCCCGTGTATGCACAGCGACCGTTGCGACGGGACTCGTGTAGCGAAACGTGGCGGAACCACTATGCAGTGGCTCAATCGGGCGGCCAGTGCCAAGCTGTGCGTTTTGTGCTTGTCACACAGACAAGAGGAGCACCACATACCGTTGTCAGCTTATGAACCTTTGCCAATCGTTTTGGGCAAAACAAAGCGGGCAGAGAGACAGACGCATGAATGTTATCGAACCCTCAAAGCAAAGACGATTGTGTGTGTGTGTGTGCATGTGTCTGTCAGCCGCACAGACAATCGTGCCCAAAACAAACCTTCAAGAACACCCAAAGACCTCCAAAAGGGAAAGCGCAAGAGGCGAGCTTTGGCGCTTTTGCGGCGGTTCGGGGAGACGGAACGGCCAGGACCCCAGAAGGGCCGCATGAGTTTCAGGCTGTAGTGTAGTTTAGGTAGTTGTGTTCGGTGTTGCGTATTTCAATGCTGTTGCATGCCGAGGTTCATGTTGTGTGTCGGATGGTGGTTTTGTCGATTCACAGTTCTAGGCTTTCTGCGGTCCAGCAGAAAGATAGATGAACCGATGAATGAAATGGCATGCAAGCTGTGTCTTCGTTGCGGTTTACTCAGAGCAGCTTCAAACAGCCCCAGATGTCAAAAGGGTCTCAATCCAAGTTCCCTCTCAAAATCCGAGGTGGTTGCATGGGGTAGCCACAGCCACGGTGGGCGCAGCCTCGGCTGTAAGCCGATATAGGAGTCCGTTCTGCTTCTGGTGTTCGGACTCTTTTTGCCGTGACCAGAATCGATGTGGGTGTGTGTGTGTGTGTGTGTTGTTAAAATGAAAGAAACGGAATGCCTGCACGTACCGTGCATGCACCGACCACTTCACACCCACACAGCATGCATCTATGTGCCGTGTGCAGCTTGTGAGCTCGTGTCAGCTCCAGTCGTGTTGCAGAGCTGCACTGTTGCAGCAGAAGTGGGCTCACCGTGTTCGAAAGCCCTCCTGCTCGTGTGTGTGTTTTACAATGCAGCGGCCATGCAGACAGACGTTCGCAGCCTTTTCCTAGTTCTGATGCAGGCGCGCGACCCCGGCCCAATTGGCCTGTCGCCAGCACAGTCGTTGCCATTGCCCACGCAGTTCGTTTGTGATGCCGCGCATCGCGTTTCATCTGCCTCTGGCCTGGTTGACTGCCGCTCCGGAGACGGCGTCGCCTTGCAGGTATCTGGCTAGGCTTTGCCAAGGCAGTCGCAGGCGACAGCAATGTAAGCGAGTCGCTCGAGACCGCATCTGACGCAGCCCTTCTCCCCCTATTTCTTAGATAGAGCACCCGCTACGCTCAAGCGCCATTTAAGGCTTTGGATAGGGTTTTGCGCATCCCAAGGTTGGCGCGCGGGCTCGCCTTCCCTTTCGCAGGTTCTTGACTTTACGGTCAGCTTGATTGGGGGCTGCAAATCCAACCGTGGGCGGGGCCGTCGGCGCACGGCCGTCTCATGCCTCAGTGGATTGTCATTCGCTGCCTTCAAGTTCCAGTTGACGGTTTTGATTGACAGGCTGTCGTCGCCCTTGATCCGAGCATAGAAGGACCATGGCAAGTGGACGCTGCCGGCTGTAAGCGAAGCTGTTCCATTTTCGCTGCAGCTGGTGCAGCGTTTCGAGCATGCGTGTGTATCTTGCAATGTTGATCCCGACGACCAGCTGCTCCTGGTGGCCTTCCTGCTGATGTGTTGGGGCGGACTTCGCTTCTCTGATGCGCAACGTCTGGATCTGCGCTCAGTGGTGTGTTGTGAGGATTCTATTCGAGGGCGATGTTGGCGAACAAAATCCAGCCCCCGCGGGATGTGCTGGGGTTGTCTTCGCCGAGGCTGCTTGGCACGTGACTGGGGCGCTATCTTCTTCAAGTTCATCGCCGCTCTTCGGGCCAAGTACCCAAGAAGGGACTTTCTTCTCGCGGCCAAGGGGCGTCCCATGTCGCACACCCAGTGCTTGGCACATTTGCGTCGGTGTCCCTTGCACAGCCTCAAGACCACCATTCTCAGCTGGGGTCTGCAACTCAACTTGCCTGAGCCGGACCGAGGTGCGCAGGGTCACCACCGCTGCCCGGCTCCTGGTGTCAGCAAGTGTGTCCCGCGCTACGGCCGGGACGTTGAGCCGCAGCCTCGTTGCCAGCAGCAGGTCCTCGAGGCGGTTGACAGGCAGTGGGCAATGGGTTCCCAACATCCCTGTGGACAGGGGATTCCGTCACCCGTCAGTCGGAAGCCGATTTGTCTGTGGTTGCTGAAAACCTACCTGCATGATTCGGTTGAGGTGGACCCAGATGCCCCCGCCGAGCCCGAAAGTGAGTCCGAAGAAGAGGAGTCTGCATGCTCTAGTGACTCGGGTGCTGTAGAGTCGGTAGTGTCTGCAGACTCTCTGGAGGGTGCGGGAGCCAGCGAGCACTGCTTTGCTGGCCCCTGGCTGCTGAACATCCGCTCTGACGTATTTCACAAGGCCATCCGCGTCGTGGACGAGGACTCTCATACTCTTGCGTGCCGCCCGCAGACGGGGCTGCACGATGGCTACGAGCTGCGGCGCCGGAACCCTCGCTTTGAGGGTTTCTGCGCGTGCCGCCACAGCGGTTGTTGCAACAGCTTGCAGTGAGATAGCTCAAAGCTTCAGTCGGAGCTGCGGATCGGCTCTTGTGGTTCATCGCGCTCGACAGCAGATGCTTATGTGCTTTTTTCAGGCAGGGAAGCCCTCTCTTCTTAAGGTCTACGCTGTGCGTGCTTCTTGAGGCGGGCTTAATTCCTTGTTCCTTGTCTTAAGTCTTGTGTAATTTATTACATCCGGATTGATGGATGTCCGACGTGCGAGTGCATGTCGTTTGGGACGCACGCTTGGATGCATGACGTGTTGATATCAGCTGCAGTCTGATCACGTCGGTATGTACTTCATGTGATTTTCAGGCAGGCAGATTGACTTCTTTCTCATGTTTATTGGGGCATGTGCTTTTCAGGCGGGCTTAATGTTCCTCTTTAAATTTAAGTCTTTCGAAGTTTAGTACTGTATATCCGGATTGATGGATGTCCGACACGCGTGTGCATGTCGTCCGCTTCTGGTCCGTGTGCACAAAGTTTTTCCGGTTTGATGGGAGTCGATCATGCGTGTGCATGATGTTTCTTGTGTCCGTCGTGACATTTGCTCTGGCAGCACGTTTGCGAAGATCGCGAGCTGTTGCTGTGTGTTTGTAGTGTCGCTGGTTGCTTGTTGCTGTGATCTCTTCTCTGGGCTTGTGCACTCCATGACTAAGACAGTGCCACTGGTGCCCCTTTGCAAGGAGGTGGGCCTCCCTGAAGTGATCGCACAGTGCTTGCATGACATGGGCTACGGTTCCCCGGAAACATTTCACAGCAGATTCGTGGACGCGGCTGCGCTGGAGTCCTGGCTGGGCAAAGCTAGGACGAGGACCAAGCTCGGAGAAGCTGTGGCGGATGTGGGCGGGAGGACTGGGGCACGCGCCCCATGGCCAGCAAGCTGCGTCAGTTGGGGCCAGTGTGGACTGTCTCTGCCAACTTTTGCCGTGCAGTGCTGTAGCCGCCGGACATCGGGAGAAGCTGGTGAAGGTGTTTGAGAACAAGTTCCCAGGACATGCCTTGTGTCCCAGCGCCTTGCCGTCTCTGAGTCTGCTCCAGTGCGTGCGACCCAGTGCAAGTCCAAGGCCTGGACTTGGGTACCGTGGAAGCGCATCCTTTCTGAGGAGGCGGCCTTGGATGTCCAGTCCCGCAGAGCGACGTGCAAGCGCGACATGGCTGAAATTGTCGCTGAGGCAGCAGGGTTATGCTGCGACGAGAGCTTGATCTCTCCGCCTCCCCCTACAAAGTGCGCACGCTTCTGTCCGTACGTGCAAATGCGTATGCGATGTCGGAGGCCGGACACCTGCGCTCATGGATGTCGTACGTCAACAAACTCATGTTGCACTACACTCGCCGGCCCGGGCTCGGTTTGCGCTCCCCTTCGCTCGCAGAGGCAGAAGAACCTGATAACCAAGTGCTTGGAGAGACTTTCCGCATGGTCTTCCATGACAACGTATCCATCGACGATGCGCTACAATCTGTGGTCCGTGAAGAATTCTTGTGTGTCAAGCTCATGCCGCAGCCGAAGCCGCTAAAGGTGCCGCCTCCGCCCACACTGCCTTCCGGCTTGCGTCCTTCTGGCGTGGGTGGCAAGCGCACCAAAGGTAAGGAGGTCCCCGAGCCTCGGAAGCACTACAAGAAAGGCAACTGCTGGGGCGTCCAGGATGGATCGTGTCCAAAGTCAGCAAAGGATTGCAATTTTTTTCACTGCTGTGATAAGTCTGGGTCCCCTGAGCACGGGGCCGCCGATTCCAAGGCCTCCATAATTTGCTCCAGGCTCTCGCGGTGACAGTGGTAGCCAATTGATTGCTGGTCCTAGCACGCCCCATTGCAGTGAATCACCACGTGCCACAATTCCAGATGGCGGAGGCTTGCATGAGCTCCACTACTGATTGGGCCGTTCCCCGCTAGGATTCGGACTTGCTGGGTGCACTGCGCGACAAGTTCAAGGCTCTGTGTCTTGATTGGAATGTTACAGAATGTTGTACAACGCCTAATCACTGCCGAGATGGATCCTCTGACCCCTTGTTCACAGACAGTGAGTCTGCCGCCTTGCAATCGGAACTTGCGGCCTTCCTAAGTCCCTGCCCGGTTCCGTGCATGTTGAGCCCTTTCAGCCATTTCTGCTAGATACTGCTAGATTGCTGGGAGGGTCTGTGCCACTTAACTGGTGACCCGGATGGTTGCTTGCCCGGGTTGCTCCGCAGCGGTGTTCCGACAGACAGGTGTGCTCGAGCCGATTGAGGCGTCAGGTGTGTGGCAACCTCTGTCTGATCCGGCTCCGGCTGATGAAGATCTGTCGGATCTGTCCATTCACACTTCCCCGTAGCAGGGCGGTTTAGATGATGAAGAGCTGACGGTGTCCTTGATGCTGAATTGGGGCACCAAGGTTGCAGCTGGCAGACTTGGCATCTCGCACCTTCCTGGCAAGAAGCCACGCCTCACCGGAGACGGTACTGTTTCCCACGCCAACCTTGCGTGTAGGATCCTCGAGAAGGTTAGGCTCCCGGCCCTAGAGAGTATTCAACGATTCCTAAGCTCCTCCCCAGAGGGACAGCGTCGGGCTGCATTCTCATCTGATGTCCGTGGGGCACACAAGCTGGTACGGGTGCGGGAGTCCGAGCAAGGCCTTTCGTGCTTTGTTGTGAAGGGCCGGTGGTTTGTGTACCGTAGTTGTTATTTCGGTTGTTCTTGGGCTGCTTACTGGTTTAGTCGAGTGGGCGCCTTTGTGGTGCGGCAAACCCATCGACTGCTCTGGGCCCGGCACGGCCTCTTCCTGTACGTTGACGATGGGTTGTCTCTTTTCCCGGTGGAGGCCGCTCCACTTCTGTCAGCATTGTGCGTTATGTTCCTAGTGTCCTTGGGTGTTCCGCTGAGCTGGGAAAAGCTTCAGTCAAGCGAGGACCTCTCTTGGATTGGCTGGAATCTAAGACTTAGCGTTCGCAGTGCGTGCCTGCCCTCGGACAAACAGAGCAAAATTCTCGGCTTGCTGTGTTCCTTGCTTAAAGCTGGCACCAGGATGCCCAGGCGGGAAGTGGAACGTGTGATTGGCCGCCTGCTGTGGTTTACAGCAGCTGCCTCGTGGCTGCGTCCTTGGCTGCATGAGTTCTACAGGTTGTTGTGCAAGCCGGCAGTTGTGACAAGGTCGTTGTCCGTATGCCAGTTCGGAGAGCTGCTTCGGTGCCTGCCTCCTTCCCTCCATGTGGTTTGCCCGGCAAAGTCCTGCGACGTGCGTGAAAGACTTGCGGGACCGGGCCATCACCTGCCCCAAGGTACGCTCTGGCACGATCTCTGTGGTGTTCTTTGAGTACTCATGCGCTTCGACTCGCCCTTGTGCCAGCTCCTCTTTCGCCGCGCGTCTCTTCCACAATGCTGTCGCGGCTCAGGTCCGCATTCCCTTATGCATCAAGGAGGCCCCGCCTTGTCTCTGTGCCGCTGATGCCTTTGCCAAGGGAGAAACTCCCGGTTTAGGGGGTTGGTTCTTCCAAACTTGCCTTGCGTCGTGCAGAACATTAGGTGGTTTAGGCAAACGGTCACGAGAGACACTCTGCCGTCCTGGCTACGACCAGCTATAAGAGCGACCCGCTGCATGCAGTCCATCATTGCATCCTTGCAGGCTCTCGCGCACCTGATGCTTTTGGTTCTTCGTTGCCGTGAGCTTGCGCTTCCGCGTGGCGAGTATTTTTTCTTGCGCCTGCCACAGCTTTGCGACAACACAGGCGTTTTCTGCCAGCTCAAAGATGCTGAGCATGAAGGAGCCCCTCTCTGTTGGATCCTGCAGGCGGTAGGGTTCTGGTCGGTCAAACTAGGCGTTCGGCTTTCCTGTTCTGAGATAGCTGGCGTTCGCAACTGCTAGACAGACGCCTTGAGCCGGGATGGGCTTCCCGGAGTTAGTCCTGGGCTAGAGCGTTCCGTGGACATCTCTGGGTTTCTGTCTGGTCCAGCAGCTGAGCCTCCACCCCTCGGTTGGGGTAGATTTTGCTACTTGTGTCGCCTCAACTGCAATGGACCGCTCATCTTTCAGTAGGGTGTGCTTGGTGTGTAAGTGTTGGAATGCCTGCATGTACCGTGCATGCACCGAACACTTCACACACCCACAGCATGCATCTATGTGCCGTGTGCAGCTTGTGAGCTCGTGTCAGCTCCAGTCGTGTTGCAGAGTTGCACTGTTGCAGCAGAAGTGGCACCCGCTCGCCCTTGATATTATTGCCCGGTGAGGGCATACTGTGGCCCCATGTGGCCGACTGAGGGTTGTGCGTTTCTAGGGTGTGTGACTCCCCCCATGGTCAACTGCAGCTGCAGCAGGCCTGGGGTGGTGGATCGTGTGTGCGGTCCATTGAAAAGTGAGTGCCTGCATGCTTGGTGTGTTTGTGTTAAATGCCAGCACATCCCTTTCCTTCTCCTTGTGTTCACACTTGGGGAGTTGTGAGCACCCCCGATGACTCTGGATGTTGCATACGATGTGTGACTAGTATCCATCAACCGGAGCACCTTCAGGCACATTTTGTCAAAAAGGTTGTAAGGGAGACACCTCAAACATGTCCCAAACCGGCTGCGCGTTCTGCAGAAAGCTGAGGCATCACTGGAGCTTTGAAGACCAAACTCCAGTTCGTGCGGGACCCGCCACGAGAGGTGAATCTCACTGCCTAATTTCTGATCTTGTGGCTTGGAGACTTTACAATATCATCGTAGAGCTGCATTCTCGGCAAGGCTATCGCATGCTATCGCCGAAGGCTCCTATACTTTTCTCAGAGAGGCGAATCAGATCTTGCTCGGTGTGCTTGCGAACGGGCGCCCATCGCGCGGTCCATTCATAGGATGTAGGCAATCGCCGCTGCATCGCATGAGAGCCCACGTGCCGTTTTAAACAAAACTACAAGCTTTCCCTCCGAGGTGCCATGCTGTCAAACAGAAGAGTATGCTTCGAACCGGTCGATGTGAGATACATGTGGCGATGCCGAACGAACATCTAGTCACTAATCTAGTCCGGCTCTTGATCAGACTTGTTTCGGTCTTCAACATGCAACTTCGACATTATGTCATCTTAGACTCAGGACCCTCAGCATACTCTGACAGGTGTGTCTTCCGTCCCCAAAACATGCATGCTCTCGCCATGAAAGAGGCGCCCTTCAAATCGATTGCAGCTACAAACAGGACATCGAAGCAACTGGCCTGGCCTTTGCGGCGTTATGCGCAGATGGTTCGGCTGCCTGGCAATAAGAATCGGCTTGGGCGTTCAAGTTCGCTGGTTGGCAGGGTTGGGGCTTGTGGGCGCCCACAAAAGATGGTAGCTTTAACTAAAGGATCGAATGCTTGAGAACGCTGTTACACATCAACCTGCACGAGCCTTCGCGCTCTCCTATGCCTGTCTTTTCGGTTGTGGTGCAAGAGGTGCATTGATGGATAGAGCAAGCCACAAGACCCATAACCCCGAAGGACGTTCGCAAGGCCGCAGACGAAGGCGACCTAATTACCATTGCTGTTGCTTCTGATGAACCGCAGTAATGGATGAGCCCAACATGAGCTAATCCGAGCCATCAACATGTTTGGGTCTAGCATCGAAAAGAACACATGGTCCAGGACACTTCCTGTGTGCTATCTGAAGACTGCATCTGCAGTTCGAGCCCTGACGACCTTCCGTGCCTTAAACAAATGTTCCCGAAGCCTTGCTCATATTTTAAATTTCAGACACGCACAAGCCGGTCCCCAGCACTGCGTCCAAGCGCAAGGGAGTCTAACTCATTGGCCCGGAGGGGAAGGGGTAGCGAGGCAAAGAAAAAACATAGACTTTTCAAGACAATATATATGTATATATATATATATATGGAGAGAGGTATCTAGATATTTTTTATTTTATGTATTTGTTTGTTGAACTTAGCTAACTAAAAATATACATAAAGATATAAATATATTTGTTTTGGTTGCCTCGCTGCTCCTCATCCCTTAGCTTAGTGCGATAATCGCTTACATTTAGTCCCCTACTTATTCGGTTTAATTGTATGTTATATCTATCTCTCCGTATCAAGGATGTCAACCAGTAAGACAGAAAGAATCAGTAATTGCTAGAATGTGAGCTTTTCATGAACCACACAAAGCCGGGCCCTGAGGGTGACGCTTTCTGTAAACAAAGCCAAGGGCCAAGCGGAACACCAGAAACCTCCACGGAAAAAAGCGACGGAAACTGTGAGGCTGCCACGGCCTTGAAAACGCAACTTCCGATGTCAAGCTCGCAAGCTCGCACACACACGCACACAGACCGACACACACACACACACACACAGAGACACATCTATGTATCCGCCCCCTTTCCTTGCATGTTGAGCTCCCAGGTGGTCGCCTGGGGTCACGAGGACTCGGGTGGTGACAGCCGCGCTGTCGGTGATCGGCTCCAGCAGGTTTGGAAGGCAAAACCGCAAAAGTCCAGTGAAAAGGGGAACTTGACTCTGGATTACTGGGGCTGGAGCTCAGTCAGTCTTTGAGAGAATGTAGGTGTGGAGACTCTTGTGCGTGATGTCTGTCCAGTTCGTAAGGGCTTCGTGGATTTCGGGCTGAAGGCTGCGCACTTCCAGAGATTTATAGCAGATTCCTATGTTTCTTTGCTCAAACAATTCGGTGTATGAGATCTTGAAGACCGCGACCTTTGCGCCAAGGTTAAAAGTACATGGGTGCGCGTGCACTCGTGCATTTTCGCACCCCAGAATCCCAGCCTCCTGACCCTTCGCGTGTAGATGTGCTCGCTGACTGCCGTGCACACAGATCCGGTCCACCATGCACGCGTTCGCCGCCATCCGCAAAGACGGCACAGTGACTGGAAATGCACTAATTACAAAAATTGGGCGTTGTTGCAATTGGTTGAACACGATGCATCGCGACGAGTGTTTAGGCTCGGGCTTCCCTTTGATCCAAGGTCGTGACTTGGGGCCGCGTCGACGCAGGCGGCGACAGCAGCGCTGTGCAAATGCAGCTCACTGGCGTGCGGGAGCACCTTCAAAGCAGGGCAGAAGGGTGTGCAGATTGACTTTCAACAATACGATTAGTGGCCGCAGCCCCGGCTAAGGGTTTGGCATGAAGGATGAGTTGAGGTTGTTGATGGTCCAAAGATGTCCAGAGCCCAGTCAGTGAGCCTGGAGAAGAACAGTCCTTCGTGAGTCAGAGCTTGAAACCAGGAACAGTACGAAACGGCAGGTTTGGTATGTAGTTGTCACAGCTGAAGAATCACAACAGCGCAGTTCTCAGCCAAACTGCAACAGCAATTTGTTTGGACGCGCTTGCCGAGTCCCAGGATTGCATCGACGGGCTACGCATTCGCGGCCATCCGTGACGATGGCAGCGTGGTGACTTGGGGCCGGAGGCTGTGCAGCAGTTGTGAGTAGTTTTAATCTGAGGGGCTCGGAGCAGATTTCTCAGCCTTGCAGCCGACAACTTCATGTCGGGGCGTTGCGGCAGTTTTGTTGCAACTTATGGGGCCAGTGCCAGAAACTCCTTGCAGTTCCTGAACTCTTGGAAGGAGCCTGGTGCAACAGTACTGAACTGACGACAAGGAATGCTTGATTCGTCGCACCTCCCGGGCGGGGCAAAAGCTTCAAAGACTTTAACACACGACTTACGGCATGTCCCTCCCTTGGCCTTTCTATTTTTGGAGAAAGAACAAAGAACGCTCTCTTTTCTGGTCTGGGTCTTGAGCAGCCTCCGATGGGCCAAGGAGCGAGCATGGAGGTGACAGCCACAAGATCCAAGAGCACCTTGTCAACGTCAAGCACGTGCAGGCGCTGCAAACGGAATCTGCATGCCTTTAAAGGCTGTACATAGCTTGCGGAATGCAGAACCAATTTGGCCTACACCAACCAAACGATTCCGGCGACGTTCGTGCAGGGCTCCGTCAGCACCTTTGCCGCCATAGTGGGGGATGGCAGCATCGTGGCATGGGGAGATCGACGTCCCGTGGCCGAAAGCAGCACCAAAAACCTGCGACAAACCTAGCTGCCCTGGTGGACAGAGACTGTGCTGCTCTGCCACAGCTCGGGAAATCGACCGTCAATCAAAGGCGGCTGATGTGTGGTGTATGTTGGTGTTCAGGTATGATTTCCTGTTGCAACGCATAATCGACCCGAACAGCCCTAACAGGCCGTAGATGCATGTGCATGTGTGTTACCATTGCCAGCTTCCACGTGCCCATCGTCCCGCAGAAGAACAATCATTAGGCTTGCGTGCCTGTTCCAGTGCGATGTCCGATGCTTGCCTCGAGATCAGATCCGTAGTCTGCGAGGTTAGGGTCATTGAACCTAACCATTCCGAAGATCCAGTAATCTTCCGGTAAGAAGCTGTGGTGCTGTGGTAGTGCCGGACAGTACCGAAACGATCCAGTCACTGCAGACTCCTTGGACCCACACGGTTCGACATGAACTCGGACAGATCTGCCATGTCTATCAGTGTTGAAGTAGCTTTGCTCAGTGGGAGAAGTGTCGTGCTTCTCGCTGAGCTTCACTGGACCATCGGCCGCTTGCTGCTCGAGGCCCAGCGTCAGCTTGGCGCTGGCCTGGATCAACTTTTTGCAGAAAATGGGGAGCTGCTGAGCGAGGCGAGGACGTTGGAGGAATCTGGACTGCAATCCGGCAATGTCTTGCAGGCGAGTGTCAGGCCGAAGAGGCTGGCTTCCTCAAGCACCGACTTCGCTTTGCTTTGCGAGACTGGATCGGTGATAGCCTGCAGTGAAGTCTGCCTCGGAAAGACACTGCTTCCGCGCGACAGCTTGGTGGACGTGCTGTACATCCAGGACCGGCATCAGGCTTCATGTTTAAGCTTTTGGTGTTTTCATGTTTGTGTACGCAAATTTATGTGATTTTATGTGTATGAGTATGTGTATATGTATATTTATATATGTGTGTGTATGTATGTCTGTATATAGATATACATATATCTATCTTTGTGGTCCCACCCCATATGACCGACTACGCCCTTTAAAGCGCCGGCGATTCCGGCCGTTGGCGTGGTCTTCTAGCTTCAACCCCTGAACTGAAGATGGAAAAGTCCATGTTTGCATGGCTTGCACACCCCAGCCTGAGACCAAAAGCCAGAAAACCCTACAGATTCAGAGAGAATGCCGGAAGTGTTTTCTGTTTGTAGTCGTGATTTGTTTGATTTGGTGTCTCCGAGTGCTTCGGAGAATTGGCAGGAACAACGAAAGCACAGTGTATGTGCGCCACCCCACTCCACAAGCTACCTCTGAGCTTTGCTTTTCCAGCAGAAGCCTAAACATAGGATGAGCGGTAGCCATGTGGCCCTGGCTGCTGAATCTTAAGTTTCGCGACCCTTGAACCAGATCGTGGTAATCTTAGCTTGTTTTGCATTCAGCATATGGGGCGGTAGTTATAGTGCTCGTTTTGGGTCGTTGTGTGTAGATTTCAAGTCAGTAAGCAGCATATGGAGACCATGGGATCTGCTAGTACAGTGCATTCGACGATTTGAAGTATATATATATATATATATATATATATAGATAGTAGGATGCACATTAAGATGCCAGGCTCGTGGTGTTCATCCTAGTTTGAGCCTGTGCAAGTTTTGTCAGAACGTCAGAGGAGTATTGTTCATCTTAGGTCTGACTTCCATCCTTGAGTATTTAATTCATTCCGCTGCTGCTGCTACTGCCCCTGCTTGTGCCATGACGACAACTGCTGCTCCCACTACTGTCTGGCATGTGTGTCTGTCTGTCTGTCTCTCTGTCTGGTTGTCTCTCTGTCTCTCTGTCTGTCCGTGCTCCTGGGCTTGAGTCTTTTTTGTTGGTCGATTTGCTTGACTTGGCCGTCGATCGGCGTCAATCGCCGATTCGGATCAGGTTGGACTGTAGGCAGCACAGCAGCACATCACTATCGTGCAGCGATCTGGGCAGGGTTTCGTTTCGGGTGGTGATCAGAACTGAAGCGAACAGCGCGTTTTTGTGCAGATGTCGTGTCCCGTTCAGGCAACTGACGAAGCTTTTGCTGCTGTCCTGATCGACGGCTCTGTAGTTTCGTGGGGTCGCCCGGATGTCGGTGGTGACAGCAGTGAAGTTCAACATCAGCTGCAAGACGTTCAGCAAATCCAGGCGACAAAAAAGGCCTTCGCCGCCTTGCTTCGGAATGGCTCCGTGGTGGCTTGGGGTGATGCAGGCTACGGAGGTGATGCCAGTGCAGTCCAGCACCTGCTCTTGGCAGATGTCTGCAAGATACAAGCGTCTTCTGGGGCCTTTGCTGCAGTCTTCTGTGATGGAACTGTGGCGACTTGGGGGCACATAACCTTGGGTGGCGACAGCATTCCTGTAAGAAGGAAGCTACGGAATGTTCGGGACATTCAAGCATCCGATGGGGCCTTCGCTGCGATTTGCCGGGATGGATCTGTGGTAACCTGGGGCCATCCCAGGTTCGGGGGGGACAGTGTGCTGGTGGAGGAACAACTCGTAGGGGTGCACCAGATTCAGGCCACAGGAAGCACCTTTGCAGCCATCTTGACAGACGGTTCTGTGGTCGCCTGGGGCGTGGATGGATCGGGTGGCGATGCGAACATCGTGCCCGAAGGCCTTCAGAACGTTCAGCAGATTCAAGCTTCGATGCACGCATTCGCCGCCATTTTATCCACTGGCGCTGTGGTGACCTGGGGCTCTGCTCTACATGGAGGAGACAGCTCAGCAGTACAGGCGCAGCTTCGAGACGTGCAGCAGATACAAGCCACTAGAGGACGCAAAGGAGCGTTTGCTGCTATCCGTGCAGATGGATCTGTCGTGGCTTGGGGGGATAGGAGTTCTGGAGGCGATTGCAGTTCCGTGAAGGACCAGCTTCTCTGTGTGCGAGATATTCAGGCTACGTCGGGCGCTTTTGCTGCTCTCTTGGAGGATGGTTCGGTGGTAACTTGGGGAAACCCAGCTTCGGGTGGCGATAGTGTCGCTGTACAGGCGCAGCTAAAGGATGTGCGGCATCTACAAGCATGCGACACAGCCTTCGCGGCTCTCTTAGCCAATGGGGGCGCCATTGCCTGGGGGAGTCCACCAAGCACCGTCCCTACAGCCCATGCTGTTTGGACTTGTGATTTCCGAACCTTCGCAAGGCCGTCTCAGAAATCTCTTGCCGACTGTCAGAAGGTTGCTTAAGCTACTGGCAAGCTTCAATGTGCTAAGGAGTCTGTTCACTGCAGGCAGACCCTGCCATTTAGATGTCCCTGGGGTTGAATTGAACCTCTCAAGAAGTCATCTCGCTTATGCCTAAGACTCCCAGGCTTCGAAATGAAGGGTTTCACCCGCTGCGCCGTCCAGCTCAGCGCGAGCATCGGCGCTTTTGCTGCTCTGGAGGTGCGGCTTTCAAAAATCTGAACTGGACACAGCTTTGATCATCATCTCCTTTGATGATGGGGATGTTGACCAGTTTGGCGGAGTCCGGTTTTGCATTTAACAGACCTTTGGATGTTGAGGCTCGGGTTTTGGGGTGGCCAGGGTTCTTCAATGCCACTA